CTCGAGGCCCATGCAGGTTTTATCGGAAGATATGTACTCTAAGTAGGATGACTCAATTTGACAATTAGAACACTCACACTCAGATTTCATTTGCAGATACCACTCGAGGTTAACCCTTACGGCGTATAACCTCTTCCTTGCATACCCACCACAGGGAAAAGCGTGAAAACCCTGTGGCTATGCGAGTGTGCTTTCATCATCCCACAAGTACGATATCACCGCGAGAGAGAGTGGTGTGTGGGTCTGACTGGATTCGAACCAGCTTTCTCCTGTCTCGAATGGGGTAGGTGTTCAAGCTACCCAGTATCTACTTGGGAGAACGGCCCGGATGGTGTACCACTGCACCATCCTACCCTCCCCAGACGCCATAGTTGTAACAATAGCTACATCGCAGCACAAGCCATGATCGATAGAAAATTGTGCATCATTCTCAAGACAATTCGGGGGCCGCATTTGCACCCGTAGCAGCAGCGTACTCTCGCCAATACATAAGATGCAGGGCTCTACAGTTACTAACACAAGCAAGGTAAAGAGATACGCCTCATTTGAAGATACTCAGACTCGCCAGATATGATGCTATTCACCAACAACCTAAGTCTCTCCCTGATCAGGCTATCTGGAGGCTAGCGGGACGTCACTACGAGGGGATGAATCGATACGGTCAGAAGGCCTGGCCTCTAAGTTTGAATTCGTGATACGAAGAAACGGCGATAGTCGCTCCCTCTTCCAACAAATGCTATCGTCGCCACCTCCTCACTTTAGCCATCCAGCTTCACGCTGTTTGCTTGGGGAAGAGTCTAGGTTCACTGATCACAGCATTTTCTAGAGGGCGTTTGGATTTTGCGACGCCGGTTCACAGCTTTATTACTGTTACAGTTTGACCGTTGTTTGAGCTGAGGTGGATACCTAAGCCTGAAATTGAGAATTCTTACGATGAAGCTGAACGAAACGGCACTACTAGTCAGGAGGCTGAAGCGTTGTTACAACATAGTGACACCTGGAAATACGTGGCTGGGTAAGAAGTATTGTCCCAAAGGACAAGTCACTAGTCTGTAGATTCACGAGGAGGATTAACTCTTATAAATACCTCTTAGTAGTAGCTAGAGTTAGCTTCCCTCCTCATATAGTTTATTAAATCGATTTATTCATCACCAACTCGGTTTGCGTCACAATTGTGACGAGGCTTAAGACTAAGGATTCAGTGGTCGTAATTACCAAATGTATACCTCTGGAAGATGTATTCCAAAAAAATCTTGATATAGACAAGTGCTTGGCAGCAGAGAAAGGAAATTGGACTGAAACGGTGAACTGGGAATTTCGCTGAATTGAAGGTAGGAGTAAATGTCTGGTGGGTGTTTTGGCAGTGGAATTGTGCATAAAGATGTGTCGTAGCTAGATAGCTGTGTATATCATGAATTAGGGGAAGCATACAACGCCTGGGGCAAGGGTTCGTCTGACGTGTAGATGGTGCGGACCTTGAGGCTAGGAGTGGCCTTGAACGGAGAGAGTATACCTCAAAAGTCCCCCTTTATTCTACGGATGGTGTGCCTTGATCATGCATACCATTTCCAGCTGGCCTGCAGGCGCGCTTGCCGTAGCGCCATCCCTTGTGTGTGCGTTGCCATTAGAGATGCATCTCCCCTACGTCGGCGCACGCCGCAAGGTCCACGTGGCCGACGCGACCTCTGGGATCCACAGGGCTATGGCATACCACTAGACGAGTCTAAATGCTCCTGCGGCTCTCAGGCTCGACGGAGGACACGCGGCTTGAAATTAAGAAGTCGGCCGTCGCGCGCGGAGACCGAATGACAAGAGACGCTTGAACGTGCAAAGCGTTCGAGCCCCGTCTGCAGCTGTCGTTGTAGACTACGAATGGCCGAGATGCCCACCAAATTTACTCCTCGTTGTTTTTCCCATGCTGTATTCAGCCATTTGCCATGACGCATTATCACAAACGATGACAGTCCCAAGACTCCCGACGTGAATTAAATCCATCAATCCACGTTGCAAAATTCATGATATAACCTCCCGGCTTACATTCCTTCCTATGCTGCATCTCACTCGGATCCACTGTCCCTCGGTACTACCTGCGAACGGAATCCAAAACGTCAGTGTCTAAAGTTACCATTTATATTACATTTGATCATAATCGGTGGCCATAGATGGATTAGGTCGGGTTGGTTCTATTGAGCGGCATGAGCTTGAGCACGGAAGCAAAGACTGAACATCTATCCACGACGTTCACTACGAATCTGGGATTGAAATATTGTGCCAGAGCCAAGATTTGATCATCCCCCAACGGTCGAGTCGATTTTTTCATGACATGGATTCTTGTCACAGGGAGCGCTACTGGGCTGATTTTGGTCGGAACTCCCGGATTGCAGATAATTCTCGACTTCACAAATCATAAAAAATATTCAAGACCATCCAAGGCGATACTAGGTTAAGCTGATTAAAGCACTTTCCCTCGACACTCCAAACGACCTCTAACTTCCCCACATGGTGCCGAAAAAGCCACAATACGACCCGCGACCCGCGACTCGCGAGTCGTTACCCTTTCTTCCGACGCTGTTTACCACGGATAATTATCGGAGGACGCCAATCTTGGATTGCCGGAGATGAGTGTGCAATGGAGAAACCAGAGCCTGCGAGTGAAGATGTGAGAGGTGCTGGGCCTTGGAAGCTTTGGAAGTGGTTGGAATAGAGGACACTAGGTAGGAAAAGCACCTTCAAAGAGATTCGCAGAGGCAGTCATCCTTTCCAACTCTTATAACTTCCTGAGCCGCTGAGCAGTAGCTGGACTCTTCCAGAGGCGGTGGCACGTTGGGTGGTCTGTAAAGACTGAGCTAATCAGCACATGGTCCTCGAAGTCTGGTACTGTGAGCCGGCACGACGTTTGTAAATAAAAATGTATCGTCAGGTACGGGTGCAGCGACCCTTGGTGAAGTCGGCGTGAAATGAAAATGTAGAGCAGGAGACTGGCTGAAAATGAGGGTTATCTGTGAACTCACTTTTTGCACTTGGCGGAGGTCAGGAAATGAGGCTTGGAAGAAGTGATGGCAAAGGGAGCACGGAATTTTAGCAGGAAGGAAATTTTTGTAATTTTTTATGTGAGATTTTTAGTTGAGATGTCGCTTTCTGTGCGGACTAGCCGGGCCTGTCATCAGTGATGCCCGCTGGCAAGACGTAAAGTAAATAAAAAATACAGATGATCACCTATTTGTTTTAATCATAGTGTATTCAGCTATCTAGCTATGACACATTATTTACATAGTTTATATCTCCCAAACTCCTTTCTTACATATAATTTACCCAATAGGTGTTTCCTATTTTAATGTCATTTATATGCTACCATGCACTTGAATTTGTCCAAATATTGAAGAAGAGCTTCCTTTCCTTATCTTTGTTCGAGATAATATTGGAAGTGTTCTTGGCTCTATGCCCTGAAAACATCATTTTCTTTTGTCTCTGAATTCAGGACAATATAACAACAGGTGTTGCACATCCTGACTTTCTTTCCTACAACAATTGCATAATTGCATATATCATCTTCAACTTTTCCCATCATATGTAGATAGACGCGTGTATTTCCGATTCCAAAGCTTGCCTGGAAGAATCCTGACTCTTTCTACCTGCAATATTCATGAAAGGTTTGAAAGGTTTGAAAGATATACTGGGTTGATTGGTTTGGGCCTGGATACTGTAGTACTTGTCAAGTCCCTTGGCTTTTCTGCCCTCCTCTGCATGCCAAAGCTCCAGCTTCCAGTTATTATTCCATGCCTCCAGTATCAGTTCTTTCGCTTTTTGTTTAACATGTGAGTTGTAAACTCATCCCTTTTCATTGCTGGTCTTGTACTCCCATTTCCAGCTAGTTCATCAGCCAGCTCATTACCTTCTATTCCAACATGTGCAGGACACCATTGAAGATGAATGGCGCACCCTTGACATGCCATCCTGATCTGGTGGGAAACAGATGACCATCACGATCTACTTAGCCATGTCTATTCCAAATCATAGTTCTGAAAATAACATTACACTGTTAGACGTAGGTAGGGCGTGAATTGAAATTTTGGCTAGAAACAATTACAAAACAATAATATTCATCGAAATCACAGCCTCTCAAGAGTCACTTCCGACCTCGCAGATACGGATCTTGACATCATCAAAACAGCAAAGAAATTTCTGTCTATTTTGTTGGTTGATTTACACGTTATGTATGGCCTCTCTATCTACAGGCCAAGGACACAGTTGTACGTTGTATAAGTTCCCTTGTTCTACCTAGACAGCTATCCTCGAACAATACCACCCCTCAAAAATGCTCACATGAAACAATCAATGCGCAAGTGTCTGCCCTCCTTTTTCCGAATCCAATCTAGTGGCTACTAATTCGACTTAAGCGACCCCTCGCGACGATATGCCACAGATACATTTTCCCTCGACGCCAGGTCAGTCTATGAATGCGCGACAGCCTCGCATCCCTCCCAGAGCTCACGAGATTGCTTGGAAATGCCAGTACCACGGTCTATACGTGGTCCGTGCTCAGATCGCGTGGGTGGACTATTTTCTATATTATGCAGGTGGCGAATCTCGGGCTTGGTTTGCCAGAACGAACTAACCGCCAATGGACAGTTAAAATTTCCTCTGCCCAACTAAATCGCTTCATGTTCAAAGTCACAATGAGCTAATGATAAATTATATTTTACCCTGGAGTCGTCGACTGGTTATATTGATGAGTAATGAGGCGCCCGTTTAGGAATGGTGTTGGGAGAGAGGGCTAACTACTGTCTGTACCCGTTATTTCTAGCAGAGGTGGGGAAAAATCAAGATCAATGTTGACCCGCAATTATAATTACCGCTGTAAAAAGCTTGTGATACAAATATCCACCTGAATATTCCGAATCATTGAGTTGCAGGCCTCTCTCTCCTCATCTTCAGCGCCAACAACAGAGTTCTTTCTACAAAAGCTCTCGTCTTCTGCCTTGCCAGCGTGTCGGTCGAAAATGGCCATGAATATAGGAACGCCGCGCCTCGAGGATCTGCTAGTACCGCTGCTCACTTCTTTATCCGTCGCTGCCCTTTCCAGAACCCCTCCAACCACGTTGCTCCCCCTTCTATCGCCAATTCTACGTCAACGAGTCCATGTCCTTTCATCGTCCTCCTCAGATCCATGGCTTCCCCTCCTCTGTTATGATGAAAAGATTGCAGCAAAGCTAGAAGATCTAGCCCTCTCCGCCGAAATGGAGCCTCATCCCATCTCCGGCCAGGTCGAAGTTGACTGGGAGAGGGAGGCCGAGACACGCTTCCAGCGAATCGATACGGAGACCCTCGACGCAATGGTATCGATCCCTAAGCTAAGTCTATCGGTCAAATTAGTATGGTGTACTAATGATCCTCCCGGACTTGATGGTCCTGATGGTTGGCGAATTGGTGAGGTGCGGGCCGGCGAGCCCGTGGATTACACGTGGGGTACATCGTCATTGTCCCGTGCTGAAGAAGAATTCCAATTAAAATACATACAACATGTGGAGTTACAACAGGACAATAGCATTGTCGGCATTCCACTCGTACCTGAATTAGAAGACGACAACGTTGAGGACGATAGTACATATTGGGCTCAATATGACGAAACTTCTCCTAAAACGTCTGCTACCAATACTTCTCAGTCTCCTGAAGCTTTTAAAAATGGTAGCAGCCTTGATTGTGGGGATGATGAATTTTATAAACTCTACTCAAGCGTACAGCCGGCATTGGATAACCATGACCCGGACGAAGCTATCACCAACAATGATCCAGGCATCTCGCGTGGCCCAAATCAGATCACTAATCTCCTAGCGCCATCTAGGCCTATATTTCCGACGACTTCCCAAAATAACCATCAAGGTAGAATCAACGGTCAAACTTGTTCCCCCCCACCTTTTGGCAATTCCTATTACTCGCACATGGGTCCAGACGCCTCTCACAATCTGAACACTGCACAAATAACTTCAAAAAATGGATCAGATTCTCAGCTGAAGCCCCCAAGGGAAACTGCTATTACAGACTATATTAGAGTCAGTGTAAAAAATATGTATAGCTTAGCATGCGCTACAGGTATCGACCGTGAAGGATTTGAACAGATTGTACTAACAGAGATGAAAGCTCTACACTTGATGAGTGTAGCTTCTGAATCATAGTTGAATCATAAGCTATGTTTTACGAAAGGGGAATATAACGGTAAACCTCTACACGTTTCGCCCATCAAAAAGGTTGGACAGAGTCTTTATTTCGGAGTCAATCGATTCAGCTACTACCGAGTACGACACGAACTTGACCTCAAAAAATAGGACCAAATTCCCGTTGGCAAATATTACATCCTTGCAAGGCATACAATCTGCCTGGTCTTCATCTGTATCTGTCACGGTTTCATTGCACAATGCCCGAGTAACAAAGTAATTGCTATATATTGGTTAGAAAACCTCTAAAGAGAGAAATCCTAGAGCTAGATACTACGTATGCATATGAAAAGGTTTGACCTCGGGTGGAAAACTAATCTTACTATTGAGGATGTTTGCAATTAGACTCCAAGAGGTATAGATAAAGCTGAGCGAAACAGAAATATTGGTCAGATGGTTGAAGGACTGGTACAACAGCGTGACTCTCGACAGTGCGAGGCTAGATGGCAATTATTAGAAATGGAAGAATAATCTCAGTCAGGAAGTTCACACTGTGAATCCAGTGTCATTGGTACCTAGCAGCTGTCGCTAGAGTTTCCCTTATAAAATTTACAAAATCAACTTATCCATTATCAAATAGGTTTCCGTGACAATATAAAATCAAAGTTATTTCCTCGTAAGAAGGCTCATCCTATAATTTGAATGGTTTAGACTCTTCAAAAATTTGCTGGAAGATTCTCGATTCGCCTGTCGTCTTCAAGAAATTTCAGGATATCTCCGGAAGGTTCGATTGGAAATTTCCAAATTCCCTATCTTCTAAGGTCTTTACAGGAGATTCACTTGGTGTTTTTCACGACGCTAGCCAGCTTAGACTATAGGAATTCCGAGGCTCATTAGACACCATAGTGTCAACGGCTTGGTTCCATCTATTGAGTGTAAGAGGACAATGTTGTAATGGAAGTTGTATAGAGAAGCGTAAGCTGTTAGGCTTGTATTTAATATCACCTAGTGAAGCGAGTTGGGAGATTGAAGAATCTGAAAACTATAGTGAAGAGTCGTTGATTAAACCCACTTAGTATGAGAGCGCTATTTAAACTATTTACTACATCTAAGTGAAGGACTCGATTCACCTGTTCATGTTAAATAATTGGGAGGCTGGTCAGTGTATGAGCCGTCATGAATGTGGCTAGTAATAATAGAACCTTATTACGTTCCCTGTTAATGTGACTCTTCATTGCCAAGTAGCGCCAATTTCAACAGACAATACTATGTTATTAATTCATATTATTGTCCTGTCTGAGTCTATGAATATGTAGGACACGCGGGTCCTCTCTGCCTATAGGCCAAGGATACCTATACCAGTAGTATATCCCCTCCTGTGCCTCCCATACAGCTCCCATCGAACAGTACCGCCCCTCACAAGTCCTCATTCGATCATACACTTGAAGGAGCCCTTAGCCCTTCATTATCTCCCCTCTCCAGCCAACGAAACGATGGCCATTTGCGGGTGTATGGCAGCCGGGAAAAATCGCTAAAACCACTGGGTGCGGGGCTCTTCTAATACCGACATTAGGAATAAATCCGAAGACATATTGCCCCTTCTGAAGCGTTCGAAGAGGCCGGCCAGCTGGGCGCTGCAGACTTGTGGGTACCTCGGAGAATTCACCCTCTGCCTTTCTAGCCTCCTTCCCGAAGGTCGTGCTGAAATGTCAGAAAAGTCTTGACAGAGCGTGATTGCTGTATAGTAGCTTAGCCTAACTTCTTTTGTGCCGTCCAGGGCGCTGGGGAGTGCCGTTGACTCATCGACAAAAGAAGCCCTCCTGGCTAATTAGCCGAAATCTTGGTCTTGGCGCCCACAAAAAATCCAAAGTTGAAAACTCCTCAATAATGTCAGTCCCAGCATGGTCTTCAGAGACCTCTTTCCCCTCTCGCTCCACATCTCAGCCGCTTGTTCTTCCTCAAGATGTATAACCCCATTAGAGCAGCAGTCCCCCATAAACCAAGACCCCAACTTTGTATTTTTCGACTTGATTTCCTCCTTGCGGGTATAAATAGCGTCGTAAATATGTAGAGAGAGATGGCCGGTAATGAATGAGGCAAGCTCCTGTTTGCAATTGGGGTGACGCCTTTATCGGTCGTCGAGGCGAAGTGATATGTGGTTAGATCGGTGTTGAGGACTCAGAAGATAATGATGAGTGCTGCATGGTTGAGAAGTCGTCAAATGGAGATATACATGTGTTTGCTTTCGACTTCGATTCGGATGCGATTCTTCTTGGCTATCCCAGATATGCAGAAGACAATACTATGTAAATAGCTGTAGTGTCGCAACACTATTCTGGGATGTGCATGGGTCAGGAGAGAGATCGCAATCTATTGATAGTTAGTCATGTGGATTGTGCAGCTTGGCGTGTCGCCCTAAAGGCTGACATGCCTTTTTTTTTTTTTTTTTTGAATCACATTGTATTCAGCTATGGAGCTATGACAATTTTTCTAAATGTTAAGAAAAGCTAATAATAACTAACAAAAATCACCAGGATTTTCATCCCTCTTATAATGTCTATTTTTATTGGCCTAATTAATTTCCCTTGTGTGCAGTTATGCACCTGGAAGTCTTTAAAAATTGTAGTAGCGCTTCTTTTCCCTTTTGGGTCCTGAAAAGTATAGGAAGTTTTAGTGGTTGAATATTTTCAAATGATTTCTTTCTCTCTTGTGTGAATTTGCTGCATTGTAGTATTAGATGTTGCATTGTTTGCCTTCCATTTGCACAGAAATTGCAAGCATCATCTTTGGTCTTCCCAATCTTGTGTAAGTATGCCCTTGCATTTCCAATGCCAGTCCTTGCCTGAAAGTAGGATGATTGGGTTAATCTGCTGTGTAATTGAAAATTGATGGGATGGGTTTTAAATATTGTTGTTGACAAATGAGCCAGTATTCTGTAGTATTTGCCAAGTCCTCTACTTTTCCTTCCCTCCTCTCGGAAAAGTTCTGAAGTCCTGTCTTGAGTCCAGGCTTCAATGACAAGATCCTTGGCCCTTTGCTTTAAGAAAGAATGTGTGGTAAATACATCCTTTTTCATAACCTTCTTTTTGCTGGCTCCCCTGGCTAAATTATCAGCAAGGCTGACACGCCTGTATCCAAAAAATAGAAGAACAGGAATCACCACATCAGAGAGAAACCCATTGCGTACGCGTACACGTGTATATTACCAACCGACATGAAGTGATATTCGTAAATAATCCTCACGTACTTATCATTATAGACGCTTTGAGCATACACTTGATTAGAAGTATAAACCGAAATCATATACTAGACCCATAAGTCTTCTCCCCGAGCTTGTTGATGGTAGAGACGATAATCGCGCATTTACTGAGCAATTTTCTACCGCATACTTGGACAAGTGACCCAACTTATAGAATATGGGGCACCTCGCGGCATGTATTCCTATTAACTGACATGCCTAAGGCTGCCTAGAAATATATCGATCTCGTACTTCCAACATGCCGCCGTGACTATTATCACCTTATAAAATATGGTGTTCTAGTCAGTAGCCTGTAATTTGGCTTGTCGCGTCTACACTGCGGCGGCCATTTATCGATCAGTGAGCGCAGGATGTCAAGGTGTAGCCGTAAGTATTAGTGCACCTTGCCCACTCTATATGGACAAATTACTGTCGCTCCCGGGAAGTGAGCTTGCGGGCGTCTGGTTGATACATCGCAGGGTAGTAATTGCGGCAGTGTCGTGTCGCGTTAACAGACGACGCACAATCGCCGCGGAGATAGTCGCTGATGCTGCTGCTATGAATGAACGAGTTTATCTGCGAACGTAATGAAGCCCACATAAATTTGCTCTTGGAAGGAAGCCATGAGATGAGATGTGGACGATGACACGGGCCATATAGATGTACGTGAGGGAGTCTACATGCTGCCTCCCAACGGCATTAAAATCAATCAGGATCATCTAGTCGCATCTGTCCCAGCCTGAGAGGGTATTCTGGAAATGCTGAGGCGGCCCATGATACTTATGATTGCTGTTGTAATGTTTCAGTGTTGAGCATCGCCACGCCGCTACCTCCCGTCTTGGTAAGTTAAGGGTCTTCACACTCATGTAGACAGTAGCACACCATATATGGATGGATGGGCGTTCCCCAGAGCTCTTAGAGGCAGTAGTTCATCCAATGCTTCTCCTATAACATTTAGATTGAGCGTTATGGCTAAAATACTGGAGTAATGAGACGAGTGGTATTCACAAACAGATGTTGGTGAGCGGAGCTCTAGGTTTAAAGCTATGGGAGCTGTCAATAGTGAATGGTGAATATGACGAGCTGAAGGTCTCTCAAATAAGAGACTTCATTTGAATACGGGAATCGAACTCGGTGTGACCAAACTAGGAAAGCTAGTTCAAAACGTGACAATATTTGTTTTATTTTTTTTTAATGTTTCAATGTGTATTCAGCTACAGAGTTATGACACATGATTAGTGCTATGTATTTATTTAGGATGACTCTTTTGACGTTAGAGACACTCATACCCTGGAATTCATTCGCAAATACCACTGTAAGGTATGTTTACTTACACAAACATTCGTCTCTTCCCCGTGAGTACTCGCCCAAGGGAAGTCCAGAACCTTGGTCAAAATATGCATGCTTTCTTCATTCGTGAATTCAAGCATCTCGAGAAATGTGGTGGTGTCTTTTTGTATTCGAACCAGTGATCTCCTTTCTCAAATGGGCTATATATGCAAGCTATCCCGAATCTACTTGGGAGACCGGCCCAGATGACGTAGCACCGCACCATACACCCATAGCATGTTTATAGTGTCGCCTGCACTCTCCCAATCCATAGCTTAGCGTGCAAATTGCTCTTCAGTTTGATACATCCTTGCCAAAATTCGAAGTCTCAACTTCGTCGAGATTGCAGCCATTCTCTGCATCATCTTGGAAACCTGTCTCGATTTGTCTCACATCCAACCCAAAGAATTGCCCCCAGGTTTTTGGGCCACGATTTGTCTCCCCAGGATATTCAATTTATTGTGGGCGTGTATGCAGAGGTCATTTGAGGCCAGAGACTGCCTTGATGACAGGTGTGGTCATTGGTATGAGGATTTACTGGGTCGTACCTGTAGACTTTATGAGGCTTAGATAGGAATCGATTGCGTTAGGAGTGAAAAATTGACATGGCGGAGTATTTTGAATTATTTCCTCGTGAGCCAGCTTCCTCGGTATCACAAATTATGCTAATCTTGGCTCTGAAAGGGAATTTCGATCCTAGTTTCGTAGAGGAGTCCACGAACAGGTGTTCCGTCTATATGCTTCTGTCTTTATCTTTGGTTTCGTGGGCTGTGGTTTGCCCGCTGGTGGAAAACACATTTAGGGTTATGAAAGCTTCTCCCATCACCGCTGTAGCATTTATTACCGCGATATCTCTTCCCCTTCTAAGCATACTTTTTGTCGTCGTGATTTTCTCAAGCATTATCGCAAGCATATCTCTTAGGGACGGAGAGAAATCTCAGCTTAAAGTTGAAAAGTTTCGAAAATTTCTCGGCTCTGCAGATCCTAAAGTGGAAGCTTGAAATTCATAAGTGACACAACTCATAGGCATTGAGTGTTGGTTTTCCATAAGAATGCTAGTTTGCGAATAGAGGTCATGCTCTATTTGTCGCAAACGTTTAAACGCACCTATATTAGTAATCAAGTATATATCAACTTATGACTTGAACTGCAATTCTCACAACTAATCACGTTACTTTAAAGATATGCGTAGGTCTTTAGTTTACTGTACATGTGTGTACAAGGACATGTTTTGGGGAAGAGTATAGGATCCAAAAATATGCATTGGTTGGGCAGGTCGAAGAAATATGTCTTGACATGGAGGATTTATCTTGGATTGTGAGTATATCTTGATATATGGCTTACAAACACGCAAAGACTTTGCACATGAATGCGCAACTGGCGCTCCTTGTGCTGGTAACGGTTAAATGATCATTTCTTTAGCTTCGAGTCCTTCGAGTGTGGACGAGTTAGCCAGAGGAAATTTTCCATCTGAGGAGGCCCATTGATGAAGTAGCGCTTGGGTTCAGGATTGTAATCGTTCATCTTGAAATGGTGTGAATTGAGGGCTAAATGTGGAATGAAAGTGGTAGGGCCCTTATTTTTCTCATTTTGCCCTCATGAATCTAGTTTAAAGAAGAAATAACTATGAGATTATAAGCCTCGGCGACCCTAAGCTGCAGTTAGCTATCACGCATCAACAACAGTGTTACAATTTGATCGTGGTTTAGCTTAGGTGAAGAGCTAAGCGGAGTTTGGGGGCACAGAAGGGACAGTGTTCCATGTTATCTTGTATCAAGCGACTAAGATTCATTTCGCCACATTACATTGGAGCTGGGAAGGAATGTTAGACGGCGAGGTACAATTGCCAAATGAGATAGTCAAGCTGGATGGCAATGTAGGATAACGACGGACAGTGGCGGTGCAATATGACATGCTCACCAACGGAGTACGTACTGGATGAGCTAGAAGGATGCACAAATGGTCATTACCCGTAGTTGTGTTACTCATTTCTTCATGTGGTTTAATCTTTCTAAGAGAACACTACAACCAGCTTGCTTTCGTCACAAATAACAAGCGCTAAATTATGCAGGTTGCGAACTCATCATTGATTCGAACGCCGACCGGCAAAAGTTTTTTTTGAATCAAACCCTCTGGGTACGGACACAAAGAATTAGTCTGCACCCGAAACAAATGGCAGCCCACGAGGGAATAAGACTCAACATATGTCAGTGGTGTTCCCTATGGACTTCCTAATGTCATTATGGAGTCTGTAGGGCCAAAATTCAATAACATCTGCGTTCTGACTTCCATGGGGACTCTCAAGCACTTTCGCGGTCTGTATCGTTTTCATCTCTCAGCAAATCTCCCCGGCACATTTATCATGGAGCTAACCATGACCAGGTCAGATGTTAGGGTTGAGGCTCTACTAGTCATCCACTCACTTTCCTTGGTCATTAAGATGAAGCCGTCAGATGGTATTCTGGGGCACAACCACCGCCTGATACGGCGATGGCAGATTGGATCAAGTTGGCCTCGTTTACTATAAGAAAGGGAGATACAAATGGATATACGCACCTATTATGGCTACGATATAGCTCTGGTGTTTAAGCCTCAACTGGCTGGGGCTGTCGGTTCCAATGTGTTTTCCTCGTACTCAGTTTCCATTGCTACCTTTTTTACCTTTTTCGGGTATAATGTTCCGCTCGAATGGAGGCTGAATTCTACGGGGAATAGTTTAGCTCAACGGCTAATCATCATGGTAATTACATTAGAGAACTTTTAAGGAAGAAAAGAGAATAACAGAACTTATTAAGGAAATAATGACCCCTCAGTCATTGAGGTTGTAGAGCGGATTGAATCTAGTATGTACCGAAGTGAAACTAAGTACAGAATTTGTAGTCACGTGTGTACCAACAACATAGCCTACTTGATAGCCCCAATTATTCTAAATTCTAACAGAACTGTACAAGGTGTGGTTTAGGTAAGAGAGGACCCCAGTGTGCAAGATATTCATAGGCTCAATCAGCACAATAGACCCTAGACTAAACAAGCATGCCGGTTCGTTGTAAACAGTCGGCGTCCGTTTGCTGGTAGAGGAACTGTTGTGATTGATGACATAACCACCCCTGCATCTGGTTATTGTGGATCACAGAGATGTAGAATTTAATGGTTAACACAGAACAGACTAGAGTCAGATAGAATAGAACAGGATGGAATAGAATGTGATGACTCAGAGCTGAATGGAACTGAGCAACTGGGGATATGGAAAGCCATAGAATGTGGTATATGTATATAAAAGTAGTGATTCTCTAAATTTGAATGAAAGCAAGCAAGTCTACTAATTCATTACAATCTACCTCTACCTTCAAGTCTCAGTGAGCGTGCAGTTATTTATCGGTAACTATTCCACCTTCCAAAACCTTGCATTCATGAGAGGAACACCGAACGCTTCATAGCATCATGTAAGGACGCGAGAATCTAGAGTAGACAAGGGAATGATTAAAATTTTGGAGGAATAGAGGTGCAGAGAAAAGGCCATCGTGTATGACTGGATTAGCTCTATAGCGACGAGAAAGGTGCCGAGTCATCAAAACGTTCAAAACGGTCCGTTAGTCTTCCATACCGCCAGCTAATCCGTAGTGGAGATAGCAGGGTCTTCATAGATCTGCTTTTACCATCATTTTTATGGGGGATCCCTCTTGGGGTCAAATGGGCTAGTGAGGAGATGACGAAAGTGTAGCATCCTGGGAAGCTCCATACGTAGATTGAGTCAGTCGGATCCATACAGGACATCCTTCCCTATCTGAGGCAGAGCACGTTGGACATTCCCTCGACCCAACTATTGAGTCCAGGTATCCGCCTCTACCTTCACTATTGGGTAAACAACGATACAAGGATTACAGCCATCTATCCTGTGACTAAAATTTGTAATGGATTCAAAGGGCAAATACCTTTCAAATCACGCCAACCCAATCTACGAACCCATGCTAGAGAAACCACGCAAGAAAATTATGGGAATACAGCCTTCCAACGCAGCTGCGTAAAACTTTCCTTTTGAATAGAGGAAACGTGGCAGTTCCTGAGAGCGGCGATGTCATTAGATCTGTTGGCAATGATAATTTGTATCAAGGACCCTGCCTAAATGGCCCTCATTAGAGGTTGACTTCCTGTCGAGTGCTAGTACGACTATTATCTACTCTTGACTTGGGACAAAACTCTCAGTTTCCATTGGAAAACATTAAAAATAAAGCAAATATAAAAACAATTAAATTTTGGTGGCATTTTATCTGGTTGTGGGTTATTTAGATTAGATTATCGAAGAATCTTTTCGTATATCTCTCATTATAGAATTACGCCATAATTAGCGACCTCATAGCGCCTTTTATTACCCCTCTCCTCGTTAATTTTGTCAGAAATAGTTCACAAGAATTATCATTGTCGTGGACGACAATATCCTGTGCTATAATTGTTAGTTCCTCAGGCTACTATAAGCTCTAAATTCGCCTTAGGATCACACGTAGCTCAAGCTTGCTGCAACTGCGCTAAATTCAAGGCAGATATGAGGATTGTCGCACCCTAGCTAGTGCGGAACAACAACAGCGTGAGAGTCAATATCAAAACTTCACCTACCCTTCGGATTCAAGAGCTCTGTACGTTACTCAAAGTTATCTTGATCTCAACAGGTCGTAAGCCCACGTCCTACAGGTAAATTATCAAAGGAAAGTAAATTGCTAACTTGGTTCCTTGCCAAAAGACGAGTCATTGAGGATCTTTAGCATCGCCGAGATACCACCAAAATCATGGTAAGCTGTCTGCAAGCTGTCTTCAAAAATTAAAAATACTAATTTAATGGCATTTTGAAGTCCTTTTCAGGGTTCGTATACACAACCTCTAGCCTGACCCCTCCTCGTATACGAAATTTCACGCAAAGTTGATGACGAATAATCATGCATCCAGCCCCAAATGAGATTCAATAGCTGATGATATACGACGGCTTAGTGTTACCGTGGACCCTGACTGCTTGGAAAAATATAAGGAGCTAAAGAGCCAAAAAAAGCACAAGTTTATAATTTTCAAGATGTCTGACGATTATAAGTCCATCTTAGTAGAGGAGGCCAGTAAAGATGACAACTGGGACTACTTCCGCGAAAAACTCCTCAGCGCTCGTTCTGTACAGAAAGATGTAAGATGACAAGTGTTATCGTTTTGTCAATATTCCTTTGGCGACAAAGTTGCATGCTTACAAGATGCGTTAAAATAGGGCCAGATGGTTAAAGGCCCAAGATACGCCGTCTACGATTTCCACTTCCAATTGGCTGCCGGAGAAGGCCACAGGTAAGTACTGACTCTCTAACATTTACACGACGTTGAGAATATCCAGAGACAAAATTGTATTTCTTGCATGGAGCCCAGATGACTCTGGTGTTAAGGTAGCTTATTCCATAAATTATCCCGGATCAATCTAACAACTATTCACCCAGCCAAAAATGGTATACGCGTCCTCCAAGGATTCACTCAAGAAATCACTCGATGGATTTACCCATGATTTCCAACTAAATGAACCCGAAGATATCGAATACGACTCTATAGTTAAAAACATCTCTTGAGCGAAAGCATAAAGTTCCGCCCTATAAGACCTTTTTACACCAGTATTCCAACACCTTGAAGACGGGAATAATTTTGATTTTACAGGAACTTCTTACTTTTCGGAAGATGATGAATATTTCAGCGAACATAGTCGCTTACTACCATTTCAGTAAACAAGATTGAACTAAAGCTTAGATTGCACAGTGTTAGTTGAAATGGATTCAAAGGGTACCATATTGGCTTCTGATTTGATTAAAAATTCAACTCTTTCTGTCTACGTGTGTAATAGATCTCATTCAGATAAAATCTGGAACTATTTGGTGAAAAATCTTGCAGGCTTGATGTTTATACCACTTGTGCATCTTGCTATCACTTGTCCAAAATCGCTGCCTTGAAAATTTGACACACTCTTTCCCCTTCTGCCTCATCTTGTAGCTGTGTTGATAAATATGACCTTAAGTCCGACCAAAACTCGTTTGTCTCGATTAAACTACTTTTATCTGAAGAGTTGAGTGCCCTTGCTGAATCCGTTGAATTATCTTGGCCTGAAGCGTTTAAAGCATGAGACTCTTTTTCTATCAAAGTTGCTCCTCCTAATACCATCACACTTAGATCCAGGGAATTGGAATCCTCGCCATTTTTGCAAGCTTCACCATTTCGAGCATTGACGAGATCTTTTAGTATTCTATTGTCGGCAACTGGCTTTTTGTTTAGTAATAGTTTAATCTTTCCAATGGGAATGCTTGTTTGATTCGATATATATTCCTTGATATCCCGAATAGTAGACGTTGGTGGCTGTGTGGGGAGTTTGATGTCTAATGGTAGATTTCGTTGCGACTTGATGCGGATGGTCAAATTTGATGTGGCACCCGGCGTGACTTTTCGTTTCTTCAGCAGCGGTCCCGTATGCTTAGGAGGATTAAACTTGGGAAAATATGTTTAGTTTAATTCTTAAACTGTGTATTAACGAGAAATAAAGATGTTGCACGCAGAGTAGTGATCAAGGAACACCTACGACTGGACGTGAAGTATAGCACTTGGGATTCTCAATATGGTCAGCCGAAAGCTTGGTTGGGCGAGATTCAAGGCTGGAGAGGAACGATTTGGCAAATGCTAGTTCAGTCATTTTGATGAATTGTATGTTTTGTGCAGGTCAGTCCTGACATTCGAGCTGCGGCGTTACTGGTTGCCAAGCTTACTAATCTGAAGATGAAATGGCCCATCGAATAAGAACCAGCAGGGGTCATGAATGTTAATGAACAACGCGCAGGGCGCCTGGGCCTGGTGGAAAACTTGACAATTTAGGAGCAGTAAAAATATCTACGAGTGAACTAATGCAACCATTATAATGCAGGATTTTCATATTACTGTAATATATATGCCATGTCTCTTCCAAGGTACTGATGATGGTATCTTGAGTTTCCAACTCTATATCTCCGCTTCGTGATCAGAAGGCTGTAAGTGTATTTGGCTTACTAGATCGCCCAAGTCATAGATCACCTGGCGCATTGGGATCCTCTCTTATCCAGGCCACACCTCGCACAGTTCTGTTGTTCTCTTTTCTTCCTTAAAAGTTCTCTAATGTAATTACCATGATGATTAGCCGTTGAGCTAAACTATTCCCCGTAGAATTCAGCCTCCATTCGAGCGGAACATTATACCCGAAAAAGGTAAAAAAGGTAGCAATGGAAACTGAGTACGAGGAAAACACATTGGAACCGACAGCCCCAGCCAGTTGAGGCTTAAACACCAGGGCTATATCGTAGCCATAATAGGTGCGTATATCCATTTGTATCTCCCTTTCTTATAGTAAACGAGGCCAACTTGATCCAATCTGCCATCGCCGTATCAGGCGGTGGTTGTGCCCCAGAATACCATCTGACGGCTTCATCTTAATGACCAAGGAAAGTGAGTGGATGACTAGTAGAGCCTCAACCCTAACATCTGACCTGGTCATGGTTAGCTCCATGATAAATGTGCCGGGGAGATTTGCTGAGAGATGAAAACGATACAGACCGCGAAAGTGCTTGAGAGTCCCCATGGAAGTCAGAAGTCAGAACGAAGATGTTATTGAATTTTGGCCCTAAAGACTCCATAATGACATTAGGAAGTTCATAGGGAACGCTACTGACAAGCGTTGAGTTTTTGTCCTCCCATTTGAAAGAGTTTTTAGCCTGAGTGTATTCGACATTTGTTGGATAAAACTAGCAATCCTAACATAAATGGTGACTCGAGTGCTTGAAATTTGTTTTCGCCTGAAATATTCCATTGATTCTATCAGGTTAAGGATGGGTAGAAGGGATTGAGGGGTTCTCAAGGAGTTTCAATGCATTTTTCCGTCGCTGAAGGTTGAGTCCCAAAATAGACATATAGGTTGAACGCTGGGTTTCTGCGGACTGGTCGGCATGTATTTGCTCCGACATGTGAGCTAAAATCAGCACGCAAGTTGAAACGACCGAAGAAAAAAAAATACATCTTCAACCGACCAACCAAGACATTCAGCCAGTACTCTCGCCACAAGCACTCTTTATCATGGGTGTAGGACGTCGCATGAAAAAGCAAGGACCACCCGAACCTCTTGACGAATCGCATTTTACAAATCTAAAGCGAAAGGCCGGATTATCTGTAACTGAGAGCAGGGCAGAAGCGCAAAAGTATGTAAAGAAAAGACGTACAAGTGGAGATGATGTTGTTCGAGACGGAAAAGGTAAAAAGGACAAGAAGATTAAATCAAAAGAAAACAATGCGCACAAAAACAATGCCCTGGGGAAGAAGCAAAGCATAAAACCTAAAAAGTCTATCGTAAAGCCCTCAGTTACTTCGAAAAACACCTTGGTTGACTCTGATACCTTTTCAGTTAACGAAGCAAGTGATAACTCCGAAACTCATGATACCCAAAATGGCTTGCCAGACGATTTTTTGGATTCAGACAGTGATGTCTATGATTCGGCAGATGACCACAAGACTGGTGCTATGTTCTCAGAAGATGAAGATGAATCAGAAGCCGAAGAAAAACTTACGGCAGCCAATATCGCAGGCTTAACGAGAAAATTAGATGAAAAACTTGCAGAGGAGGCAGCAGAGGCTGAGGCTGAAATACAAGATGAGATGATGCAGACCAATATTTCTGGCGAACGTCCACACATTTTATCAGATTCCGACGATGAAAATACTGGAGCTCGCGACGCTAATCCTCTTCTTGCACCTGATCTCCAGCTTCTCAGAACTCGGATTACAGACACGGTACGAGTCCTCGAAGACTTCTCAGGACTTGCAGAAGAAGGGCGCTCACGCGCTGAATATACAGCGCAGCTACTCAAGGATATCTGCAGCTATTATGGCTACTCTGCATATTTAGCAGATAAATTATTTAATCTATTCCCCGTCAAAGAAGCCTTTGCCTTCTTCGAAGCAAACGAATCACCTAGACCAGTAGTAATCCGAACGAATACGCTACGAACTCACCGCAGAGACCTTGCACAGGCCCTAATAAATCGTGGCGTCACCCTGGAGCCGGTTGGGAAATGGTCGAAAGTTGGGCTCCAAATTTTTGAATCTACAGTCCCGCTCGGAGCAACACCCGAATATCTTGCCGGACATTATATACTACAGGCTGCCTCTTCATTCCTTCCTGTAATGGCACTCGCGCCACAAGAGCACGAGCGTGTCCTAGATATGGCAGCAGCACCTGGAGGCAAAACAACACACATAGCGGCGCTCATGAAGAATACCGGAACAATATTTGCCAATGACTCGAATAAGCTGCGCGCTAAAGGTCTTATCGGAAATATTCATCGCATGGGAGCTAGAAGTGTTATAGTATGCAATCACGATGCGTGTTCCTTCCCGAAGGTCATGGGTGGTTTCGATCGAGTATTATTGGACGCTCCTTGTAGTGGTACAGGTGTAATTTCCAAAGATCCTAGCGTTAAGACGAATAAGACTGAAAAAGATTTTATCAAGCTGCCGCACCTTCAAAAACAACTACTATTAGCGGCTATAGATTCTGTTGACCACGGAAGTAAAACGGGTGGCTATATTGTGTATTCTACTTGTTCTGTTACAATTGAGGAGAATGAAGGTGTAGTACAATACGCTCTTAACAAGCGACCTAATGTCAAGTTAGTGGAGACAGGACTTATTTTTGGAAAGGAGGGCTTCACATCTATTATGGGAAAAAAATTTGACGCAAGCATGAAGATGACAAGACGCTACTACCCACACACACACAATGTTGACGGGTTCTTTGTTGCTAAATTCCGGAAGACAGGCCCAACAGCTAAGGCCATTCTGGAAAAGAATGAGAGAGGAGATTCGAATCAGCATGATGAGTCCAGCGCTAGGGTTCAAGCCTCTGAAGAGGAAGAGGCTAATGGGTCACAAGACAGTTTTGGCGGTTGGAATGATAGTGAAGACGAGAAATATCTAGAACGTGCGCGGAGAAGACAGTTGAGGCGTCGTGGCATTAATCCATCTTCGAAGATGGAACCAACTACGCCTTCCTAAAGTTGCTCGTCAAAGTGAAAAAATTAGATAAATTAAATAGGCATATCTACAGTGTGTACATGTAGGTATTTCTCATGAGGCTCAAGTGCGGTTTTTTTTCTATGTATAAATATTGTGACGTATACTCGATTATCAAGTCAAATCATACGGAGATAGAGTTTAGTTATACCCCTAACTACGATGAATCACCATAAGATCATGCCTTTCCATGATAAATATTCTGTCTCTTTGCAGAATTGCTCTTATCCATTGATAGCAGATTTCTATCTGTGGTTGCAACATTTGAAGCAAAAATTAAAAAGTTTATCACAAAAACTTGAGTCTTAGCTGCAAACTCAAATGCCTTGAAGTTGTAAACTACCTATATCCCTTACAAATTTCCATTGTCGGCAATGTATGAGTCTGTAGTACGGAGGTAATTTACATAAGCTTATTGAGCAAATGAAACCGTTGATGATAGCCCAGAATAGTTATCCAAAGCCCCCACGAACCGGTATCAGATCTTTTGTTAGAGGGATAGTCAGCTTCTTATTAAACAGGGTGTTGAGCTTTGGGTAATAAATCACGCGAAAAAAATGCGACTCATGCCATGACAGGACGTACACATATTAGCTGGTATTTGTAGAATAATGTGAGCAGCTAGAAATCGAAGCAATCAATGTCGTACATGAGGATTTATCCTGCAACGACTTAAGCCATTGATGAAGTATTACTCTGATACACGAGAGATTAGAACACACTTAAAAGAGAGTAGATAAATAGGCCACAGTTTGATGGCCTGAGACAACATTTCAATACTAATCCATCTACGTCTTGGATTTGCTGTGCAATATCTCTCAAGTTATACAAGTGATTAGAGAATTTATGAGTTAACGTCTCACAAGAATATGACATCGACGATTAAAGCGAAGTACAGTCTCCGGAAAAAATGGATTCTTCATCTTCTAGAAGTGCTGGTGTAAACGCTGAGTGTGCTCCGCCCGTCTGAGATAGCTAGGAAAGCTCGAATCTAATGTTCTCACTTGAAGATGCGATCCCAAGCTCTCTCATGGTCTGTATCGTTTTCATCTCTCAGCAAATCTCCCCGGCACATTTATCATGGAGCTAACCATGACCAGGTCAGATGTTAGGGTTGAGGCTCTACTAGTCATCCACTCACTTTCCTTGGTCATTAAGATGAAGCCGTCAGATGGTATTCTGGGGCACAACCACCGCCTGATACGGCGATGGCAGATTGGATCAAGTTGGCCTCGTTTACTATAAGAAAGGGAGATACAAATGGATATACGCACCTATTATGGCTTTGGTGTGGCCCTGGTGTTTAAGCCTCAACTGGCTTGGGCTGTCGGTTCCAATGTGTTTCCCTCGTACTCAGTTTCCATTGCTAGCTTTTTTACCTTTTTCGTGTAGAATGTTCCGTGGAAAATGAGGTTTCTTATATGTTATTGTCCTCTCTATTATAAGGCCGTATGGGAGATGTAGAACCTCTCTACCTACGGGCCACATATATCTATCTTCTGGTACATTTCCTCCAGTACAGTAACACATTCAAAAATTGCTCATTCAATCATACACTTAGATGAGTCCTTTACCTTTCATTTTCTCCCATCTCAAGCCAAAGAAACGAAGGCCATTTCTGGATGTATGACAGCTGGGGATTTTTTCATAAAACCATTCGGTGTGGAGCTTTCACAGAATAATTAAAGGGGTTATAATGATGGTTTACTCTTAGCATACAAATCTTGCAAGCCTGAGTAGGGAAAGCTAGCGTAACAGTTAACTACGAGCATGTATATAATAAAGTATAGTCTACAGTCAAGTTGCCTTCCTCACGCAACGTCTTCTCAATATTATTCTCATTGCCGGTACTTCATCTCTTCCTTTTGAAGACCACTACGAGCCCGTACTGGTTTCAGATCACGACGTGCCCTCTATCTCTTCTTGTGGAAGACCTTAATCCCCTATTTACTCACACTTGTACCCTGTCGATAAATACCATACACACTCCACGAGAGGAACTCTCATGGTGCCAACATCTGGACTGAGTCCGAAATCTTAGCTATCCTTATGAAGTGTTTGAACAGGCCTGTCAGCGGGGCTCTGTAGACTTGTGTGTACCTCGGGAAATTCACCCTCTGCCTTTCTAGCCTCCTTCCAACTCCTTCCCGAAGGTCGTGCTGAAACGTCAGAAAAGTCTTGATAGAGCGTGATTGCTGTATGGTAGCTTGGCCCAACTTTTTTTGTACCTTTCAGGGCCCTAGGAGTGCCATTGACCTATCGAAAAAAGAAGTCCTCATAGTTAATTAGCCGAAATCTCGGACTTGGCGCCCAAAAACGTTTGAGAGTTGAAAACTACTCGATAATATCGGTCCCAGCATGGTCTCCAGGGACCTCTCCCCACTCACGCTCCACATCTCAGGCGCCTGTTCACCCTTAAGTTTTTTGAACTGTTAGAGCAACAGTCCCCCATAAGTCAAGTCCGAGGCTTTGTATTTTTCGACCTGATCTCCTCCTTGCGGGCATACGTAGCGTCGTAAATATATAGTGAGAGATGGCTGGAAATTAATGGGACAGCTCCTGTATGCAATTGGAGAAACTTCTTTATTGGTCGTATAGGCGAGATGATGCGTGGTTGGAGAGGCATTATCGAAAGTCGTGAAATGGAAATATGCTTGAGGTTGCTTTCGACTTCGATTCGGTTACAATTCTTCTTGGCTATCCCAGATATGCAGAGCATACTGAGCGATTACACTGGCACCATTGGATGATGAAGAATTCATCTTTGACGGCAATTTGGGCTTATTATTCATGGAGCAATCAGAAGTCGCTAGGATAACAGTTGTTACTGAACAAATAACCATCTGCACTTCTCGTGTCGCACTTCTCTTGGCCATTCCGGATTCCCTTGTCCATAATTTGAATGAATTCCCTGACCTCTGCAGCCGTAAACCTAGCCCGAGTTGATTCTGTTGATTTCGAATCAAAATGGTTAGAGAATGGTACCACATTCCTGCTAGACACTCCTGCAAATATCCAATCTAAGATACACGATCAAGCCTTAATCGGTTTAATTTTTAAGGTCTACGTCATGAGCGATGACATATCAAACGCTCTTTTCACAGTTCGCTTAAGCATTCGTCACTGCGACGCGCCAGCGCGTCTCCCAGCTTGCCATTAGGGACTATTATTCAATCAACGCACGCATTTCGACACGATGTCTAATTCTGGTGATAATATGGAAGTAGATGATATCGAGCAAGAAGATACGCCCTACAAAATTAAGGAAAGTGCTACATTTAAAGGAAAACAGAGCGCTGCAAATCTACCAGTTGAAGCAGAGGATAGTCTGCCATGGTGAGCTTCAAGCTTTTAACAAATCACGCCGTGCTCAAAGAGATAATCAGGGTCGAAAAATATCGCCCGGATTCTTTGGAAGATGTGTCTGGTCATCAAGATATATTGGCTACAATCAACAAATTCGTAGATACTAATGTATGATAATTTTTCCCACGCCCAGAACGCAACTTGACCTGTTGGTAGAGACTACCTCATCTCCTCTTTTACGGTCCTCCAGGAACTGGAAAGACATCCACTATACTAGCTCTCTCAAGGCAGATTTATGGCGAGTCAAATGTGCGTCAAATGGTTCTCGAGTTAAACGCCTCGGACGACCGAGGCATAGAAGTGGTACGGGAGCAAATCAAAACCTTCGCCAGCACGAAACAGATATTTAGGATGAACCCCAAGTCTAGTGGCTCTAAAGTTATGGCGTCATACAAGCTCATCATCCTAGATGAAGCTGATGCGATGACCTCAAGTGCACAGATGGCGCTGAGGCGTATCATGGAAAAATACACTGCAAATACTCGATTTTGTATTATTGCCAACTACACGCACAAGTTAAGCCCGGCGTTGTTAAGTCGATGTACACGGTTTAGATTTAGTCCCTTGAAAGAGAAAGATATCAAGACATTGGTTGACAAGGTTATTTTTGAAGAAAAAGTTAACATAGATGACGAGGCTACAGAGGCGTTAATAAAGTTAAGTAAAGGCGATATGCGACGTGCTCTAAATGTACTTCAGGCTTGTCACGCTAGCAGTGAGTTTCTACACTTCTCCGAGGTCTACTACTTACAAACCTTGCTATTAGGTACACCTATATTTATAAAAGGCGAACCCAAGATTCCAGAAAAAGATATACAGCGCGATTTGATTACTGAAACTACGATTTATGAGTGTATCGCCTCTCCACATCCATCTGATATAACCAAAATTCTCAATACGCTTTTAACTACTCCGGATGTCATATCCTGTTTGAAAACTATCAACTACTTAAAAACTATGCAGGGCTTAGCTCTGGCAGATATAATCACCGCTCTGAGCGAGAAAATAGTCAGATTAGATGTCCCAGCACCAGTCATGATTTCATGGCTTGAGGGACTAGCAGATGTAGAGTACAGACTTAGTGGTGGAGGCGGAGAAGTTGTACAAACGGGTGCTGTAGTGGGGGTCATCCGGAGTGGCACGGAGTTGATGGATGATATTCCCAAGACCTAATTAGTATCCCAAACATGTATTCATGGAACATAAGTGGTCTAAAGGTTTGAAATTATGCGAATGATAGTTAAAATCATACAAACTCTTCATTCTCAGGGAAACGAAATCAAATTTACTTATGATAATATTCAACCCTTTTTATATCGGACTCGTAGATGGCTTAACATCATTCTTCACATGTAATTAAGATCCTTTACCTGAGAAGAGCATCTACAGTTGTATTCCCCCTATAAAGGGACAGAATCGTGTAACTTAAACTAGACGTTCGTAAATAACCCGGCTTAATACCACTACATGAAAAGATAGAGCTATGGCTAGAACTGATAGGAACTTGTGAACCTAGATCAAATACTAGGGTCAAAGCCTTACTTTTTGTTGGAATCTTAAATACAAAATGTTAGAAAACGAGAGTATGTCTCTTTCTTGTCCTATTGAGTCTATGACTACAAAAGAACATGTGAGCCCCTTCTGCCTACATGTCAGAAGTATCTATGCCACAGTATTGGAAAGAGTTAGATTTTGCATAAGTCACATATTAATCTGAATGCTGATAGTTGCTTTACGGAATAGATACTTGTGTACTATACATGTTGAGGAATATATCAATCACGTGACACTAATCTTCTAGGGCAGCTGTTGCTGCGTGCGCCAAAGTTATTGGAAATCGCCTTCATCCTAAGGTAATGTGGTAGTAACCAATGATCATAAATACTAACGAAGGATCCCCAGAAGTATTTCAGCTAGCGAGGTGTCAGTTGGTCTAGGGGCGGGGAGACGAAGGATAGTCGAAAGAGACTATTCAAGAAATCGGGTTGTGGAGCAAGCGGAGTAGTCTTATAACTTAAGATTAAACGAAGTACGAAGAAAGTAACGAGTAGTGACAGATTGAGAATATCGGAATATAAAATTATAAGATTATTGTTAAATTATAAGATTGTTGGCCAAACACAATCATTCCTGTACCTGAACATATTGGAGTTATGGTTGTATTTATTACTTAGGAGTATAGAGGGCAAGGCGTTTGGAGAATTTAGATACCCTTTATTAGTAGTTCCGTATTAGCGCATAGACGAGGCTGGCAGACACCGGTCTGCCAAGTAAAGTCTGGATAACTTGGACACATATCCCACTTGAGACAGTAGATCGCTGGTTCAAATCCAGCAAAACACAAATACTTTTCTCGCGGCGCTAACATGCATGGATGACGAAAGGTTTTGAAATTCCCTTTGGTGGGTACTTACGGAGGAGGGTCGACTGTTTGTGTAAGCGAACATACCTCAAAGTGGTATTTGCAAATGAAATCCAGAGTACGAGCGCTCTAACGTCAAAAGAGTCATCCCACATGTATAGATAGCACCGGTCATGTGTCATAGCTCTATAGCTGAATACACATTAAATGATTTGAAAAAAAAAGAGGCTGGCAGACACATATTGATAGGAGTATGGTCGCAGCGTTGAAGGATGCTGCGATCGCGAGATTCATACACGATAGTTTAACTCAATACTGTATCAATTCTACTTCCAGTACTTACGTACCACTCGTATACAAGAATATTATTAAATAAATTATAATTTTAAATGTTGGCTAGAATGCGAGATTAAAGACCAAAAGATTGAGAAGCTAGAGAGCTAATTTGTGGCAGCTCCAGCTTCCTTAAGTCTAAATCGAGACAGTACTAGAACTCAGCCTAGGCTATAGCAGATGTGATCATGACGCCAGCCCCTTCATTTCTAACTGTCGGAGTCTTTTTTTTTGCATCAGATTTTAATTGCGTATGCAGCTATCTAGCTATGACACAATATCAAAGAAAAGTACAGAATAGATGATTCAACGTAAGGGAAGAGCACTCATGCCTCAGATTTCATTTGCAAGTACCACTGCGAAGTTATGGTGGCTTTTTCTTCACCCCAAGTCAACCCTCATCCGTGAATACCCAGCCAGGGGAACATCTCAGAAACCCTGAGTTATCCAGACATGCCTCCATCATCTTTCAACTTTCCTCCGCGCGAAATGTAATCTGAGATGTCTCCTTCCCAAGTGGAGTAGGTGCCCAGGCTACTCAAACCATACCAGAGAACACCACCAGGAGGCGGACCATAACACCTTCCATCGTTGGCTTGTGTTTATAGTGTCAGCTGCACTCTTGCAGACGATATCTTGACGTACACAAAATTCAATTCGACAAACTCCATGCCAAAATTCGGAATTTAATGCCCTTCGAGGTTATATCCTTCCTTTGCATCATCTTATTAACTTGTCCAGATCCCTCTCACGTCCATCTCAAAGAACTGTCTTCCAGATTTGTGCTCCACGCTTTGCTTCCTCCATCGGGTATAAATATCGGCGTGGGCGTATATATGGTGACCGACTGAGGCCAGAGAAGGTCGAAGAGTGGTGTGGTCATTGGGATGAGGATGTACTTGGTCGTACTTGTAGGCTTGATGAGACTTAGGTATGAGTCAAACTCGTTGGGAGAGAAAAACGACGTGGAGGAGTAAGTTGAATTATTGCCTCGTGGGCCAACTTCTTTGATATTGCGAAATTTGACTAAACTTGGCTCTGGGAGAATATTTCACTCCCAGGTTCGTAGAGGACACCGCGTACAGGTGTTCAGTCTTGCCCTCCACTGTCAGAGTTTCCTGGTAACCATCTCTTTTCTCCCCTCTCACCTTTTCCAGAGAACCTTGTCCTTTAAAGTTCTTCTAGGATGCCTGGCCATAACAACACCTGTTAGGAATTGAGGAAGTAGAGTCTTAGGGTTGATAATAAATGGGAGGGTAGAGGACGAATCCTCGACACCTATCAGTGGTATTAACTACAAACCTTCAACACTCATTGTAGACTCTACAGAGGCGAGATTGAGTAACACCTTTTCAACTTTGAACTGAGTTATCTTCTCCTCCTTCAAGTACACGCATCCGATAACACGTAAGACGATGATAGTGATGCTGGAAATGAGGAAAGATATTGCTGTACCAAATGCTACAGCAGTAGTCAGAGAAGCCCTCGTTATATTTCAACATGTGCTACCCACAGGCGGGCAAACAAAGGCCTCATGAGAGCAAAGTAATAGACCCTTCCGCCTTCAGGAAAAGCAGATTTCGACTCGTCAATAATATCGTCCCTTCTAACCTTTAGTTCCGGATCTACTAGCCAGGAGGACATCTGAATTACATGAGTTACTCGACAACCCCATGTCCGTAATAGATTTTGGGATGCTAGGCTAGGCTCCTTCGCGACTGTCACTCTCGACTAAGACTTTTCTGACATCCTTTCACGACCTACGATTTGTCCTGCGGCACGAATCAGGGGAGGAGTAAGGAGGAGGCTAGGAGGGTTGAGAGACGCTCTTAGGTATACACAGGTCTACTGCGCCCGGCTGGCCGGCCTCTTCGTTAAAGGAGAGCACCGCACCCAGTGGTTTTTGAGACTTATTCCTGCAGCTACACACCAGCAAATAGCCATCGTTTTGTGGCCTTGAGAGTGGGGGTAATGACGGGATAGCGGCTCCTCTTAGTGTGCACCAAAATGAGGACCTATGGTTTTGGTTTGGTTTGTTCATCAACGTGCAAGGTAAAGTGACTCCCGACGCATTCCTGCAAGAGCTTGATAACGAGTGGGACTGGGCTGGATCAAGTTAACTACAGTAAAGTACAAGTGTCTCGTCCCAGCTAAATGACCAGAGTCATGCCAAAACGCATCTATGTGCTGAATTATGACGGATGTAGCAGCACAGAGTAAAAAGAAGAAAACTTCCATGCGAAAACCAGCATTACAAAAGGAAAACATTAAAAACAGTCTCCCTTCCAACATTCTACATGAGCCACCACGCGCCTAGCCTCGATTCGAATCCCTCTTTCTATGCTGAACGACCAAGGCTACAGATATATGGCCTCCCAGTCGCAGGTAATCCCGCTGTTGCACACTTTGCCACCGCATATACTCCGCTGTCCTAGTCGTACTTCTTGAACAGTCGCTAACTGCTTGATCAAAGTAGAGCATCTAGCACCAGCGCCCTCCGCCTTCCGCTTTTCAGTTGCCATGCAAATAGTTGTTACAGGCTGCGCCTTACATCCATGTACTTGTGCCTAATTATGTACTAATGGCCGATGTTCTTTTATGGGATTACAAGTGATCACCGATCCGATGGATATTAACCTCCCTGGGGTTAGAGCTACATGTATATATGTCCTACAGCCCAGATAGATACCATTTCCTGGATAATTAAAAAATAGACTGTATTACGGCCAGCTTACTTTGTTCTTATTGTTTTGGGGATAGCCCATCACAACAGTGCGTTTCTGCACCGGTCGAGATGGCTGTCTAGATTTTCTCTGCCACACTGACGGTGAAGTACGGCAGTGATGTGATTGAAGCGGTGGTGGTATGCCGCAGAGTCACCGTGTCCTGTTCGAGCTGCTGTGAGCTGAGCATATCCAGCTCTGGCAGTTTCTTGCGCCGCATCTCGAGGTCGAGGTCTACGTATCGCTTTGGCCGGTGTGATTCACACCAGTCTTTCAGTAGCTGTCTGGATAGTTTACGGGATTTACGCCCTATTACCGCAAGCGTGAAAAAATGCGTCAGAGTTGTAGAGTTGTCGGCCATTTTGTTCCCTGCAAGTCCTGTATGGCGCGGGATCCATCTTAAGCTGTTTGGATTAGACCAGGGTTAGGAATATACAAAGATGCTCGGATGTATTTCGGGCTGCTTTTTCTCCTTGCAGTATAATCCGAAGTTCTATGATTCAAAGTGTGAGAGGTTCAGTTTTGATAGATGTATGTTAAACTGTTACACCTGTGCATGTTTAGCAGTGACACAGCTCAGGGGTGTAGATTCATGGAATATGTTGAGCATAGGAAAACACCACCATCGCGAACATTAATGTAACATTCTGTAAACGGAACTGTAACTAGATCTAACTTAACTAAGTCTTGATGTGTTGCTAAGTGGATGCATGACGCATGAATGCTTTGGATAGATAGGTTATAAGTGACCTGGA